ATAAATGGGAATGACCTGATTAATGGAGATATTATAAGTTAGTAGGGGAAAGGTAGATCTTTAATAAATGATGTCAGTACAATGGATTTTCTTTGTGGTTAGAAAAAGAAATCAGGGGCGCCTGGGTGGCTCAGTCAGTTAAATGTCCAACTCTTTCTTTTTTTTGTTAGAGCACACGTGGGTGGGTCCAGATCTCAGCTCAGGTCTTGATCTCAGAGTCATGAGTTCCAGCTCCGCATTGGGCTCTGCCCTGGGCGTGGAGCCTACTTGAAAAGAAAAATCAAGCTCACCTAGTAATAATGGAAATGTAACACCAAACAGGAATGAAATAACATCACCCATCAGTTCGGCAAATTTTATTTTATTTTTTTATTTTTTATAATTTCTTTTTTTTTTTTTTTTTAAGATTTTATTTATATATTTATTTGAGAGAGAGAATGAGAGAGAGAGAGCATGAGAGGGGGGAGGGTCAGAGGGAGAAGCAGACTCCCCGCCGAGCAGGGAGCCCGATGCGGGACTCGATCCCGGGACTCCAGGATCATGACCTGAGCCGAAGGCAGTCGCCTAACCAACTGAGCCACCCAGGCGCCCTATTTTTTTATTTTTTAAATGGTATTTTTTTTTTTTAAAGATTTTATTTATTTATTTGACACAGAAAGAGAAAGCACAAGTAGGCAGAGCAGCAAGCAGAGAGAGAGGGAGAAACAGGCTCTCGACTGAGCAGGGAGCCAGACGTGGGGCTCGATCCCAGGACCCCGGGATCATGACCTGAGCCGAAGGCAGCTTCTTAACCGACTGAGCCACCCAGGCACCCCAGTTTGGCAAATTTTAAAGTGAGGTGGTTATCGAATGGTGGGTGTGCAAAGCTGTATGGACAGTGTACTCGGACGCAGGTGGGGGTAGAGCACAGCACAGCCTCTTGGGAGATGATGTGCAGTGTCTATTCATATTGAAGATGGGAGCCCTTGAATCCCCATGGGTATCTGTTCTAGTCTATCTATGTTACAGCTTTGTTTGGAATGATTGGGTTGGTTCCAATTTTTTGCTATCAATAGAGCAAATACAGTACTATATTATATCAAATATATGGATAGACTCTGATAAAATACTATAAGGCAATTAAGGTGAATTATGACTATAAATATGGGTAAATTTCTAAGTGTAAAAAAAGGAAGTTTGTATCATTTTTGTCAAATACAACAAAAATAAACAGTAGTATGTATTATCTGTTGGGAATAAAATATAAATATTCATTAAACAAAGGGACTAGACACAACTCTGTAGTAGGCACTCTGGGAGTTGGGAGAAGAGACCCATGTGGAGCTAGATTGGGAGTCAGGGGCCTATAGCTTATCTGTAATGTTTTTATTTTAGAGAAAGAGAGTGCAGTGGGGAGAGGCAGAGGGAGGGAGAATCTCAAGCAGACTCCCTGCTGAGCACGGAGCCCCATGTGAGGCTTGATCTCAAGACCCTGAGATCACAACCTGAGCCAAAATCAAGAGTCAGACGCTTAACTGACTGAGCCACCCAGGTGCCCCACTTAACTGTAATGTTCTAATTTAAAATACATTTTCAGGACGCCTGGGTGGCTCAGTCGGTTAAACAGCCGACTCTTGATTTTGGCTCAGGTCATGATATTGGGGTCCTGGGATTGAGCCCCATGTCAGGCTCTGCACCTAGCGGGTAGCCTGCTTGAGGATTCTCTCTCTTCCTCTCCCTCTGCCCCTCCCCCTGCACTCTCTCTCTCTCTCTCTCTAATAAATAAACCTATTAAAAAAATAAAATACATCTTCATATATGTATATAATTTAGAAAAGAACACACACAGAAAAAGGCCTGGGGACAAATATGACAAAAGACCTAACAGTGGTTAGTTTTGGTTTGTGGGAACATGGTTGAATGACTGTTGCCTTCTTTGGGTATGATTTGGTATCTCCAGGTATGATTTGAACCATCATCCAAGAAAATCTTAAGACTCTTTGTCTTACCTGGGAATAGTTGTTAGCCTTAACTTCCTTCTGTTTTCCTAGAAAACGTGGACACAGACTTGCAGGCCAGCCTGGGGCAGAGTGAGGAGAAGCCCGTGCCCGCTGCCCCTGTGCCCAGCCCAGTGGCTCCGGCCCCAGTGCCATCCCGAAGAAACCCCCCTGGTGGCAAGTCCAGCCTCGTCCTGGGTTAGCTCCGATTCTCTTGAACTCTGTCGTTTTGTTTGTTTGTTTTCTCCATGCTTGTGAACTGCACAACTTGAGCCTGACTGTACATCTTTTGGATTTGTTTCATTAAAAAAGAAGCACTTTATGTACTGCTGTCTTTTTTTTTTTTTTTTTTCAAAGAACAGGTTTCTCTTTATCTGTCCTGATTCCTCTGGGTCTGTAGGCCATGGCATGAGTGTTTTCTAGTAGTAGATTGGAGGGAAAGTTTTGTGACACTTAGTACAGTGTTTTTAAGAACAATTTGGTTCCAAATGTGTTAGAGGATCTTTTGTACTGAGGTTTTTAAAACCCTTTTCTTGTCAGCTTTACTTGGGTTTACCAAGCCTTGACTGGACAGACCAGTAAACAGTCCACAGGCACCGATCCTTCTGGCCCCCAAACACAGGGTTGTCTTTATGCCAAACCTACTTGTTGTTGGCCTACCTTGCCAGTGCCCTTTGCTAAAAGCATCTTCCTGTGCCATATGGAACAGTAGAGGCTGGTGCCTCATGCCTTGCTGCCTGCAAAGCAAAAAACTGCCTTTTTAATTTTTGAACCTTAAGAGATAATCCAGATACTAACTCGACTAGCTGATGAGCTAAGCCCGCTGCTCTCATGCAGAGGAAGGCTTCGATGTACGCTCAAACTGACAAATTCCAAGTGGTGAGCAAGCAAGGGCAGTGGCCACATGGAAGTGGGTCTTCGTGGTGAACAGACCCCAAGGGGGCAGTGCTCTTCTTAGGTAACTTGAAGCTGTGTGCATGATGCTGGTGCTTGACCATGAACTGAAGTCTCATCCTTAAAATGTGTGTTATACTTCACAATCCTGGACTGTTGCTTTAAGTAAATGATGTACAAATTTTGAAACATTGTGTCCTGTGTCATCTTTTTGAGATTGTTTCAGTGTTCTACCTGTTCAGTTGCTTTTTTTTCTGTGACCCTAAATCCTGTTGCCCAAGGACTGATGAATCATTCAAGTGCAACAAACTAATGAAGGCCCAGATATGTGGGCTTCTTTCTAAAGAAAACAGGTTTAAAGTTACAGCAGGTGTTCAAAACACCAAAATGATATCTGTGGTAATAAAATACGTGAGTAGTATGGATAAATGATAAGCAAAATAATTATTAGCCAATATATTTTAGATTCTCCACCTACCCTTTGTGCTGGGCAGTAACATGTAAGATTTTAAGTCCTCTCGTCTTGTAAGGTGCCTCTCAATGGTGAGAGGTTACAGAAGAGGACTCCAGAGGAAGGGAGATGAGGACCTGAGGAGATAGAAGATAAGGAAAAAGCTCTTTAGGTTCTAGGCAGAAAGTTGTTTTTTTTTTTTTTTAAAGATTTTATTTATTTATTTGACAGAGAGAGACACAGCGAGAGAGGGAACACAAGCAGGGGGAGTGGGAGAGGGAGAAGCAGGCTTCCCGCGGAGCAGGGAGCCCGATGTGGGGCTCGATACCAGGACCCTGGGATCATGACCTGAGCTGAAGGCAGACACTTAATGACTAAGCCACCCAGGCGCCCCTAGGCAGAAAGTTCTAGATCAACATGCTATATTAACTGTCCAAACTGGGCATTAAGACCTGGCTCTTAGGTCTAGCTACACTACTAAAGTGTGTTCTTTTGGCTTGTCTTTTAGGGACCAATTTCCTATCTTAAAAAGTGAGACCTTTGAGATGATGAGCATAACCACTGGTTCGTTTGAACTATTGGACATTTCTTTGGGAAGAATAAAGGTGTTTATAGGTTCTGGGGGGTGTAAAGTCTTTCTTCCTTATGGTGCAAAGCATTTGCAAAATGAAGTCAGTAGTTTTATTACAGGATCTGTCCAATTTCACTAAAACAGGTTAGCCCTACAAATACTAGCCTGAGTTATGGTTTCTATTAGGACTTTCAGGGGTAGGAACCCTGTCTGTGCCCTTCTCTCTAATGGTCGGGATCCTGGAAAAGAGATGTCCCTGATTTGTTTTTTTTTTTTAAGATTTTATTTATTTATTTATAGGACAGAGAGAGACACAGCAAGAGAGGGAACACAAGTAGGGGGAGTGAGAGAGGGAGAAGCAGGTTTCCCGCCAAGCAGGGAGCCCGATGTGGGGCTCGATCCAGGACCCTGGGATCATGACCTGAGCTGAAGGCAGACGCTTAATGCCTGAGCCACCCAGGCACCCCGAGATGTCCCTGATTTGTGTCACTACTTGTAACTTCAGTGTTTTTTTTAAAATGAATTTTATGAAGATAAGTGCCTAATCAAACTTAAAGTATTGTGAAGGAGGGACAGTGCTGCCAGTCATTCTGATATTATCAGAACAGATTTTAAGAAATTCTATGAAAACATATTTGCTAAGGGTGTTACATTTTCTACTTAGAAAGCTTAGGATCTAGAAAGTGGAGTTGAATATTAAGATGATGATGGCAGAACAACCAGTATTTCATTGACAGTTTGGGCTGTACACTCAGGTTGTGTGATGTGAGTGGGAACGGGGGGGAACCGTGGAGAACTATTGCTTAATGCCGATTACACCTCTTGAAGGCTTTTTAATTAGATCACTTTAGAACCAAGACACTAGTCTCCCCTTTGTAATGCTCCTGTTAACATTGGTTTGGAAGTACTGGGGTGTTCAAATGGGGAACTACAGGAAGATGGATCACTTAACCAAATCTGAGTTTACAGTTTGTAGGTCAATCTATTTGGATGTGGTCAAAAAATGCCGTAAAGTCTACAAAGGAGCATCAACGAAACTTAGCAGTGTTCCGCGTTTTCTAGACGGGGCTGTAACTGCCAATTCTAGAGCAGAGGTCAGTTCCACAGAAAGGACATTGCCGATTTACCTGCGCTGGGTGGACATCGTCTCCTCGGGGTGGAACTAAATGTTCAAAGCGGACGCTCCCAACCCCAACTCTGGTTTAGGAGTTCGTCTCCTCGGAGCTCGACTCACGCGAGCCAGGGGTCTTCAACAGTCTCACTTCAAAGTTACTGGGCGCCTCCGTGAGTCGGGCCGTGGGGGTCTCTGGTCCGGGGTCCGGCGTCCGGAGTGTTCCTGCGTCCCGCCCCACAAGCAGGGAGGGCGGTGGCCCCGGGCCTCGAGGTCGGGATTCTAAGGGTCGCGCCAGCCCCACAAGTTTAAGGAGCCCTGAGGCCTTCGCAGGATTTGGGGTCGTCCCCTGCGGAGTGGGGGAGGGGGAGCGGACGTGCACGCGGGCGCGCTCTCAGGCCGCCTCGCGCCGCCGCCTTGGGAAGGCCGCGCGCTCCCGCAGGGCCGGGTTCCCGGGCGCCCCATGCAAATGAGCCCCGGTGCGCCCTCCCACCCCGCGCCTCCGGAAGTTGCGGGCCTGGCGCCCGCTCCCCGCCCCCCGGCGACCTCGTCCTTCCCCCGCCCGCCGCCCGCAGCGATGGCGGCGGCGATGGCGGCGCGGCGTGCGCGGCCCGTGCGGGTGCTGGTGGACATGGACGGCGTGCTGGCCGACTTCGAGGCGGGCCTCCTGCGGGGCTTCCGCCGCCGCTTCCCTGGGGAACCACACGTGGCGCTGGAAGAGCGCCGCGGCTTCCTCGCCCGCGAGCAGTACCGAGCCTTGCGGCCGGACCTGGCGGTAGGTAGGGAGAGAGCGGGAGCGCAGCAAGGGGCGTGCGCTGGAGGGGAGCTCCGACCCCACAGTGACCCCGGGAGCAGGAGCCCCGACCCCACAGGGCGCCCAGAAGCCGGGCGTCCCCACCTACAGAGAGCCGGGGAGCCAGGTGCCCCGACCACACAACGTCCCCGGGAGCGGGAGCCTGGACCCCACATTGTCGCCGGGACCAAGTGCCCCGACCATACAATGTCCCCGGGAGCGGGAGCCCCGACCCCACAGAGAGCCGGGGAGCCAGGTGCCCCGACCACACAACGTCCCCGGGAGCGGGAGCCTGGACCCCACATTGTCGCCGGGACCAAGTGCCCCGACCATACAATGTCCCCGGGAGCGGGAGCCCCGACCCCACAGAGAGCCGGGGAGCCAGGTGCCCCGACCACACAACGTCCCCGGGAGCGGGAGCCTGGACCCCACATCGTCGCCAGGACCAAGTGCCCCGACCATACAATGTCCCCGGGAGCGGGAGCCCCGACCCCACAGAGAGCCGGGGAGCCAGGTGCCCCTACCACACAGTGTCTCCAGGAGCAGGAGCCTGGACCCCACATTGTCGCCAGGAGCGGGAGCCCAGACCCCACAGTTTCCCCGGGAGCCAGGTGCCCCGACCCCCCAGTGTCTCCGGAAGCAGGGCACCTTGGCCCCACAGTGTCCCCGGAAGCAGGTAGCCCGGCCGCACAGGGCTCCTAGGAATGGGAGCCCTCTCCTTGGGCAAGACTGCCTCTGCTCCATTTCCAGAGACACCCCCTTTCTGTTTAACAGAATCCATTGTTCACTCTGGACAAGAAAGTCTGGAAGAATGCTTCCCCCTATGTAAAATCCCCTCCCTGTGGCTCTGATTTGGGGATGGGTCCCCCAGGAATCTTACTTTGAGAGTCCTCCCTGGGGCTAGATCTGCTGGAGGAAGAAGCTGGGACAAGAACACGGTATCTTTCAGGACAAAGTGGCCAGTGTGTATGAAGCCCCAGGCTTTTTCCTAGACTTGGAGCCTATCCCTGGAGCCTTGGAAGCCATGCAGGAGATGAACAACATGCAGGAGTGAGGAAGGGCAGAGAGGGAGGGGCGGTGGAGTAAGGGCGGGTACCACCCTAACCCATGCCCCTTCCACGCAGCACGGAGGTCTTCATCTGCTCCAGCCCTCTGCTGAAGTATGAACACTGTGTGGGTGAGAAGGTACGGTTACCCCAGCCCTTCATAGCAAACGGCTTCCTAAGTTCTGATGTTTAAAATAAACCAGCAGAACTTAAACACAGGAAGTGGGGGGGGGGAGGGGAGCAGCATCTCACAAAGGCTGGAGACCCCATTCCCACCTATTTACTCACTGGCCCTACTGACAGACCTGTGTCCTCACCTCAGTACCGCTGGGTGGAGAATCACCTGGGGCCCCAGTTTGTGGAGCGCATTATCCTGACGAGGGACAAGACGGTGGTCTTGGGGGACCTGCTCATTGATGACAAGGACACCATTCGAGGTTAGACCTGTTTTTCTGGCAACCTTCCAGGCATCTGGCCTGCTGGGATTAGGGAGAGGGAGTAAAATAACTAGATTACTGACTGCATCTCACTGCCTTTCTCCCACATCCTGTCCCAGGCCAAGAGGAGACCCCAAGCTGGGAGCACATCTTGTTCACCTGCTGCCACAACCAGCACCTAGCCCTACCCCCGACGAGGAGACGGCTGCTCTCCTGGAGTGACAACTGGAGGGAGATCATAGAAAGCAAGCAGGGGGACAGAACAGTGGATAGTAGCTGAAGGAAGGGAAGGCAGGCCAGCAGGGAACCCCAGCAGAGCTGAATGGCGGGGCAGTGTCGTGGTGGTGGCCCCCAGCCCCGCGGAGCAGGGAGACACCGTAACCTCCATTCTCAAAAGTCAGCCACCTGGAACCCAGCAAGATGGCTGGCCAGGAAACATGGTGGGAAAATCACTCAGGAACCTTTTTAATAAAACATTTTGGCTCACCACTCTTTAAAGGCCCTTTATTCAGGAAAGGAAAGGGCCAGGAGCCCTAGGAGGGGCAGTCGGAATACAGGCGGATAGGCTTTCTCCTCCTCGTGTCCTTAGTCCAGTGGCTCCAGAACCTGCCCCACCTCCACAACCACAGACACCATCTCTCTTGCATCTGCTTTTCCTTGGCCATGTTAGAGGTCAACCCTGAGGGAGTGCAGAAGGGAGGCCAGGAAGCTCCCCGTTGCTCCTGAACCCCAACTTTCCGTGGGGGTCCCATACTGTTTCCCCTGTGCTGACCAGTGCACACTGTGGACTCCAAGCCACACACTTCTGTCAGTCTCTGGTCCTCTGTCTCCCTTGAGCACCACGCCTGCATTCCTGAAGCCCTTTTGTCTGAGACTCACTTCTAGGGGCAGGGACACCCCCCTCACTAACCCAACCCTGATGGGAGAGGAGGACCAGGACTTTCAGGCTGGGGCCATGGGGTGGTGAGGGAAGAGTACACAGCTTCAAGGGTTTATGCCTGTATTCTGACGTGTCCTCACCCTCATGTCTTAATGCCTGACGGCTACCTTAACAGTCCGTGGGCTGTATCACTGAAGAGTAGGGGCACCTGGGTGGCTCAGTTGGTTGGGTGTCTGGCTCTTGGTTTTGGCTCTGGTCGTGATCTTGGGGTCGTGGGATAAGGCCCTGTGTTGGGCTCTCCGCTGGGTGCGGATTCTGACTGTCCCTCTCGCTCTGCTCCTCCCCACACTCTCACTCACTCTATCACTAAATTTAAGGGGCACCGGGCGCCGCAGTTGGTTAAGCGACTGCCTTCGGCTAAGGTCATGATCCTGGAGTCCCGGGATCAAGTCCCACATCGGGCTCCCTGCTCAGCGGGGAGTCTGCTTCTCCCTCTGACCCTCCCCCCTCTCATGTGCTCTCTCTCATTCTCTCTCAAATAAATAAATAAAATCTTAAAAAAATAAAATAAATTTAAGGGGCGCCTGGGTGGCTCAGTCGTTAAGCATCTGCTTTTGGCTCAGGTCATGATCTCAGGGTCCTGGGATCAAGCCCCGCATCGGGCTCCCTGCTCTGCGGGAAGCCTGCTTCTCCCTCTCCCGCTCCCGCTCCCCCTGCTTGTGTTCCTGCTCTCGCTGTGTCTCTCTCTGTCAAATCAAACCTTTAAAAAAATTTTTAATTAAAAACAAAAACAAAAAACGGGATGCCTGGGTGGCTCAGTCGGTTAAGCGTCTGCCTTCTGCTCAAGTCATGATTCCAGGGTCCTGGGATCGAGCCCCACATCGGGCTCCCTGCTCAGCGGGGAGCCTGCTTCTGCTGCCGCTCCATCCGCTTGTGCATTCTCTCTGACAAATAAATAAAATCTTAAAAAAAAAAAGAGACCACATCTTTGTCTTTGAAACGCCATGGTGTCTGGCAGATAGGCCCGTGTGGATAAACTGTTTGTGGGCCACAGAGTTCTCCAGGCCGGCATCAAGCACGCCCAGCGCCCAGCCTGGGGAGCTGGCAGTGCAGGTACCCAGGCTCCGTAGCCCTGGAGTGGGCATGACACCTTCCCAGGGCCCTGAGCTGGCTTCTCATTTGTTCCTCAAGATTATTTTAGGTACTTCTGTTAAAGGAGAATTCCTGTTTCCTCAAGCACAAGCAAGTCTAATCCCAGGCCCAGCTGTTCCTCATGAAAAGCCCCTTCTGTAAAGCCTCTGAATCTAGGATCCCAGCTGCTTCTCACAGGAGGTTGACAGCCTGGCAGTGGGGCACTGGGGGTGGGGGCAGGAGGCAGGAGCTTGACCTTCAGCTGGTTGAGAGTGCCAAACTATGGAAATGGCATTGCCTTTGCTCTCCTCCATGTGTCTCAAAGTCTGGCCTCTTCTCTCAATGCCCCTCACCACAGTGTAAATAACCTGTCACGCTGAGAAGACTCACCTTTAAAATAGCTGAAAGGACACCTTTTGGGGAGAACATGCTCAGTGGGAGCCAGGCTGCTCCTGCTCCCTGAGCCCCAACTAGGATTGTGGCCTCCTCTCTAGTAGTCAGGGTATCATGGCTATGAGGTCTCCCTGGATCAGGGCTGCTGTGGGGCCTCAGTCCTTGGCAGTGGGATACCCAGGGCAGAGTGAGCCCTCCAGGTGCGGGCTTCTGCCACCTGGCTTGGGGAACAGAAGTCTTCCAGGAAGATCTGGGCCAGGTTCCGGAGCCTCGTGTTGGCCGAGAGAGAGAAGCGCAGCATGCACTGGACCACGGGCATGGCGGTTAGCTCAGGGTGGGAGCCAGACCCTGGTGAGCTCAGGTACATGATCGTGGTGACAGCAGATAGCACGGTCTCCTCGTTGGGACTGGACAGGCAGTTGATGATGAGCGGGATGCCCCCTGTCTGCAGGATGTGCTCCTTGTTGGCCCTGTCTGGGCACAGGTTGCAGAGGCCTCCTGGGGAAGAACAAGGGGAGACTGGGTGCCTCAGGCCTGCGTATCCTCCCACCTCCCCTCCCAGCTCCTCTCTGCCCACTTTGTCCCAGGAACAAGGGATCCAAAGTCCATTCTGGTATCCATCCCTTCAAGGGTCCTGAAGGCCTGCCTGCCACAGCCTAGCCTTCAGGAAGTGGGTACCAATCCCTTTCCTCCTTGGGTCAGCCAGTTCAATGGTTGATATGCTTTCCTTTTTTTTTTTTTTTTTTAAAGCAAAACCAAAAAACTAAAAAAACCCCCAACCAAACAAAAAATAAAACCCATGATATATCACTTTACAGAATTAAAAAACAGGCACCTGGGTGGCTCAGTCGTTAAGCGTCTGCCTTCGGCTCAGGTCATGATCCCAGGGTCCTGGGATCGAGCCCCTGCATCGGGCTCCCTGCTCGGTGGGAAGCCCGCTTCTCCCTCTCCCACTCCCCCTGCTTGTGTTCCCTCTCTCACTGTCTCTATCAAATGAATATATAAAATCTTTAAAAAAAAAATTAAAAAACATAGGTAAGGTGATGATTTCACAGATGTATACATGCCAAAACTTGTCAAACTGTATCCTTTAAAGATGTACAACTTATTATATATCAATTATCTCAATAAAGCTGTTAAAAATACTAGAAGCCAAATTATAAACCATATTAATCCTACCATCCAACATTTGCTTTTCCTTCCTCAACTTCAAAATATATGAATATATATAAACATTTAATAAAAATGTGATCCTTTCCTGTTTTGTAAGCCAGCTTTTTTCATTCAGCAATGGATTGTGAACATCTTTCCAGGCCAACATACCTACAACTGTGGCATCATTTATTTTTTTTTTAACCATGGCATCATTTAATGGCTGTGCAGCGCACTACCTTATGGATGCAGTGTAATTTATTAAAACGCTAGAGCAAGGGGGAACAGGTGGGCCGGCAGGGACATGTCTCTTCCAGGGGCAGGAGTCTGCCCGGGGCTGGCACTACCACCCCCTCCCTCACAGTACCTGGGTCAGTTTGAGTCCTGCTATAGGGAAATATTTTTAAAAGTTTTATCCCTTCAGCCTCTACGGACTTCTCCCTGCGTTCAGAAGAAAATCCAAATTCCCCTTTGAGGTCTTCACGGCCCTGCGCCATCTGGTCTGGTCCTTCTCTATCACTCCCAGCCTCAGCCCTTGGACCTTTTGGCCCCAGATTTTCACATGCTGCCTCCCTTTTGCTGGTAACCAAACCTCACTGCTCCCTCACCAGTAAGGTTCTCCTGGAACACCCCACTCCCCACCACGTAAAGGGCACTCCCCTCATCCCTGCATGCCATTTTCTTCATATGCTTAGAACCCCAAGAAACCACCCTGGCAGATTTGTCTTCTTGCTCACTAGCTGCCAAGCCCCACTAGAAGGCAGATGCCTTGAGGTCAAGACCGTGGCCGTCTTATTCCCACCCGGTCCTTGGTGCCTGGTGCAAGAAGAGCTCCACAAATACTTGTTGAAAGGGCTGTAGAGCGGTGAGCTGGGGAAAAGGGTTGAACTGCAGAGAGCTGGGGTCTGGATGGTCGGCTCCCTGAGATGTCGCCTACCATGGACTTCTGCAGTTCTGGGATCCAAGTTGTGGCTCAGAGCACCTCTGAGGGAAGGAAGGAGCTGAGGGGCACTGCTGGAATCACGAGGCAAGGGAGATAAGGCACTCTGACAGAGAGGTCCCTCCCTATGGGACACGCAGAGGCCTGACCTGCTCATACCACCTCAGCACCCATTCACCCCCGTGGAGTCCTCAGCACATCCTGGGGCATCCTGTTGACTGCCTTCCCTACTTGCTCTGTCCCTGTCACTGGACATCATAAGGCAAGGCCCTGCTCTCTGGTTTACCTCTGTATCCCAGGCACCTGCAACTGTGGACACTCACTGGACATGTGCTGGGAACATGACTGAACTCCATGAAGTGTTACTAGCGCCCCGATTTTAGTGGAAGCTGAGGCGGTTGAGTAAGTTGCCCGAAGTCCCAGAAGATGGGAAGCCCTATGCCACAGTCATGGGACAAGTGGCAATGCTCTGGCAGGCCTCTGGCTTCCCGGACACATCTACACCATCTCTTCTGAACTACCAGCAGTGAACCAGCCTCCTACCCACACTGTAGGTTAATTGACTGGGGGCAAGGGATGGGATTTATCTCTGCTGTAAAGTATGATAAGATGAAGTCTGAGTCACCCTTGGCCAGTGAGTCATCATCACACAGGGATGTGCCCGGGCGGGACATTGCCACCCAGGCCAGGGGATAATCAGATGGCATCTGTTGGAGGGTGAAGGCAGGAGGAGGCCTCTGGACAGCTGGCCCCATCTGCTCCCTATTTGTAGACCTAGGAAGTCTCCAAGGATGGATTCTGTGCCTGCCAGAGCTTGCCACTGCCTGGGACCCAACCACAGGGCATTCTTGAAGGCCCTCTGCCTTGCTGGCAGCGATCCTCAGAGTGGGAGACAAGAGTGAGTGCTTGGAAAGAGAAGGGCTTCAGGGGGCAAGGAGTCTGAATGGAAGCACCCAAAATGGATCCAGGGGACCCATGAGAAGCCAAGGCCACAGCTAATTGAGCTCTCCCTCCCGAGTCTACCTCTGTGAGCCTGTCCTGAAGAAGGAAGGAGAGGTGTAGGAAAAGACAAAACTGGAACACAAAAACTGGAAGCTTCCTAAATAATGCCCAGCAAGAACAAGGTGGTTGGATCCAGTTCCGTATGTCTGCATGATGGGAAAGTCTATAATTCTTAAAAATCATGTTTTCAAAGAGTATTTAATATGGGAAAATGCCTAAATGCTTGCAACATAAGGTTAAGGAGGAAAAAAGTCATCAAATTGTATATACAATAAAACTGCAATGAACTTACAAGTAAGCCCGGCAAGATGTCACCTCTTCAGAGAGCCTTCCGCAACTGCCCTCAGCCCCTTTCCCCAGCGCCCTCTCCTCACCTCCATTGTGTCTCCTCTTCACACCTAAGTTATTTGTCAGGTTAACTGAAGGTCCCCCACTAAACCACAACTCCCACCAGAGGGGGAATTTGTCTTATCTCAATTGGTCACCTCAGCCTGGCATACAGCAGATGCTCAATAAATGGACAGACAAGTTAACAAAAGACAAGCTGGAAACACAGCAAAAGGTTAATAATGCTTATCTCTGTGCAGCAGGGTTAGGAGTCATTTTTATTTCTTTTATTTTCTAAGTTTACCTCCACAAAAATGTTGTTTGTTTGTTTTCTGTGGAGAGGAAACAGGGTAGAAAATGTTATTTTTAGGGACACCTGGGTGGCTCAGTTGGTTGGGCAGCTGCCTTTGGCCCAGGTCATGATTAAAAAAAAAAAAAAAAAGTGTTATTTTTATAAGCAGGAAAGGGATTTTTTTAATTTTAATTTTTTAAAGATTTTATTTATTTATTTGACAGAGAGAGACACAGCGAGAGAGGGAACACAAGCAGGGGGTAGTGGGAGAGGGAGAAGCAGGCTTCCCGCTGAGCAGGGAGCCCAACGCGGGGCTCGATCCCAGGACCCTGGGATCATGACTTGAGCCAAAGGCAGATGCTTAACGACTGAGCCACCCAGGCGCCCCAGGAAAAGGATTTTTTTAAAGACTCCCTCATTTGAGAGCGAGTGAGAGAGTGCATGCGCATGAGCAGAAGAAGGGGCAAAGGGAGAGGAAGAGAGAGAACCTCAAGCCGACTCCACTGAGCACGGAGCCGGACCTGGGCTCGATCCCAGAACCCTGAGATCATGACCTGAGCCAAAATCAAGAGCCGGCCACTTAACTGACTGAGCCACCTGGCTGCCCCGGAAAAGGATTTTCTTTTTTAAAGCTAAATTTCATTTAAGATTGATTGATTGATTGATTTGACACAGAGAGAGAGTACAAGCAGGGGGAGCGGCAGGCAGAGGGAGAGGGAGAAGCAGGCTCCCCGCTGAGCAGGGAGCCCAAGATCCTGAGATCATGACCGGCGCCAAAGGCACCTGTCGCTTAACCAACTGAGCCACCCAAGCACCCCTAAAGCTAAATTTCATTTAGAAAATGGAACTCACCAAATGACACCATTAAAAAAAGTAAAAAGACAAAAAGAGAAAATATTAATAAACTATCTGAAAGAGGATTCTTCCAGAATACATAAAGAATATATATTAATGCCTATCAAGAAAAAATGAACACGATGTAAAAATGAGCGAGACTTAAACTATGCACAATAAGAGCAATGCATACAGTGTGCTCATCACTACTTCTCAGAGAAATGAAAATTCAAACCACGATCCGATGTCTCCACACACCTACTGTAATGGCTAAAACAAACAGACTGACAAGACTAAGCGCTGGTGGGCGGTGGGGCTGCTGGAATTCTCATGTGCCAGTGGCCAGGAGTCTCACACGTTATCATTGGGCTGGAAAAGTACATGGCTGCTTCTACCAAAGTCAAACATACACCTACGCTCTGAGCAATTCTACTTCTACCTGAACCTGGGAGAAAGGAGTACCTATGTACGCGAGAACACTTGTGTACAAACATTCGTAACAGCTCTATTCATACAGGCTCTACGCTAGAAATGAATCTCCATTACCACGTGAACTGGATGAAAAAATTGTGGCACATTCATACAAAGACGTGAGCTAATGACGATGTAACAATCTGGATGAATCTCAGAAACACCCAGTGAAAGAAACCAGACACAGGAGTATATCCTGTGTGATCCCACTTAGATGAAGCACAAGAACAGACAAAACAGGGGCACCTGGCTGGCTCAGTTGGTGGAGAGAGCAAATCTTGATTGGGGTCGTGTCGTGAGTTCAAGCCCCACATTGGGTGTGGAGATTACTTAAAAATAAAAACTTTTTTTTTTTGAGAGACATAGAGAGGGCGTGCACTTTCATGTGCAAGAGCATGAGGGGGAGGGGGAAGAGGGAGAGAGAATCTTAAGCAGGCTCCATGCTCCATCATCCACCAAAATAAAATCTTAAAACAACAA